GCTGCTGTCTTGAGCCTTGCTTGAAAGAAAGCAAGCTGCTTTTTTAAACTGACCTGAGCAAGAGGCGAAAAAAGTCTTTGCACTCCATTCCATGGGTTTCAGCTGCATGCAAAGGACACACACATGCACAACTGCAGCCATTTTGGCCCATATGGTAGGGATCAAGCAGCAGCTAGAAATTGAAGCAAGTAAGAAAAGGAAAGCCGAGGGCCTGCAAGAAGGCCAAAATTTGAGCAAAAAAATGTTGCAGCTTTGGTCCTTGGGGAAGCTGAGTAGCTCAGGGCTTCAGGAGCTTGCTTCTTCAGCAGCTGCAGATGGGCTGCAAAACAAAGAGCTTGTAGACCTGAGCGGTTTAGGTAGCTTTGGTGCCCACCCAAATAACTGCCATCGAGACATCCTCAGATTGTTGAAAAACAAATTAAAGAAGTCAAAATATGGAGGCTTGAAAGAAAGCCCGACTTTGTCCATTGAGGTGCCAGCTCTAGACTCCAAAGAAGAGAGCCCAAAGACAAAGGCTATGTGTCACATAGTTGCGCCACACCTCTTGGTCTGGCAGCTTTTTGAAAGCTATCCCAAGTTGACACCGTCTTTGTTTGGCTTGCAGAAGCTCGAAGCTTTTTGGACAGGCCTGAAGCCTAATGACCCCAGGCTGTGGGACAGTGGCTTGACAGAAAGCCAAAAACATCGTACTGTTCCTTTGTGGCTTCATGGAGACGGTGTGGAATTTTCTACAGACAGCCTTTTAACTTTCAGTTTTGGGCCCACACTCTATGTGCCCCAGGGCTTGCAAGAAAGCCAAAGCGAGAAACAAGCAAACCTCAGCATGGACAGCTCTTTTTTGATCACTGCATGGCCAAAATCAGCAACTACAAAGGAGACCTGGGGTGAAATCCATGAGATCATAGCATGGAGCTTCACAGCACTTTTCCATGGCTTGCATCCAGCAGTGAAATGGAAAGGCAGTGCTTTGCCTCCAGCATTACAAAGGCTTGCAGGAAAGCCAATTACACCACAAAAGCTTTGCTTTTGGGTGTGGAATTTCTTGGGGGATCTTGAATATTATGCAAACCATTTGGGGTTTCCCCATTGGAGCTCTCACAAATTTTGCTGGCTGTGCGATTGTAACAAGAAGGACCCTAGCAAAAACCCATATGATTTCACCACTGAACCAGGGTGGGCCCTGAAATCTTTTGAAGGCTTGAAAGAAAGCCCCTGTACCAAGCACACTCTTTTCACAATCCCTGGTGGCTTGCCTGAATACAGGGTGTGCTTGGATGTGCTGCACACCTTGGACTTGGGAGTGACAGCCAGGATGGCAGGGTCTGTCCTCCACGCTTGGGCTTTTCCACCTGGTGCCAAGAAACAGGACGGGTCAAAAAATACAGCCGAGGTCTGGGCCTTGCTTAAAGAAGCGTACAAAGATCTTGGCATCAAAGAGAAGTTCAACAACCTAGTGGTTTCCATGTTTACCAACCATGAAAAACCATGGTCCCAACCAGCCAAACTCAAAGGCCACGCAGGTGAGATCAGGCATTTGGCACCTGCTTTGGCATTGGTGGCTTGGAAGAAAGCCAATGAGTGTGAGGCTCATGCCCACATGGCTGAATGCTGCCACCAGATGGCAAAATTCTATTCTTTCATTGCAGAGGACGATCTTTTCATGAAAGACAGTGTGAAGGCAAGTCAGTGCTTGAAAGAAAGCATGCTGCAATACATTTGGTTGCACAGCCATTTTGCTGATGAGGTCAGGTTCACCTTGACTCCAAAGTGCCATTTTGTAGCGCACATTGCTTTGATGACACAATTCCAAAACCCAGCTACTTGTTGGACTTACAAGCAAGAATCCTTCATGGGATACATAGCCACTTTGGGCCACAGCTGCTCACATGGCACCAGAGCTGCCAGGCTCAGTGAATCTTTCATCACCAAATACACCATGGCCCTGCAGCTCAGGATCAATAACATGGTGTGATGGCTTGAAAGAAAGCCAAAGGTGCCAGAGAGCCTTGCAGGAGCATGCTTGAAAGAAAGCAGTTTGTTTCACCCACTCTTGACTTGCATAGCATGCGCCCAACAGAGGAAAAGACCAAGGCAAGGGATCAATATCGATCAATATCACAATCAATATTTTCAATCAATATTGATCAATATCATTATCAATATTATATTGAACATGATATTGATTTCTGAGGCTTCCAACTTGACCATTTTCAATAATATTGAAAAATTTTGATCAATCGTAAGATTGATTTTTTTTCAATATCGGATCCTCAGGGTGGTTCGCATCCGAACTGCTCGAGTTCTTTCTGGTCGGACACTCGGCTTTCCAATGGCCGGTTTGGCCACACAATCGACAGGTCGACGAAGCAATATGCTGCGCCAAACCTTTGGATTTGCCTTTCCCCCCTTTTCCGCGACCCCTTTTCCCCCCTTTGAATAGTTTGGGAGGCCAAAACCCACGGGGCCTGGTCTTTTCAAGGAGCCTTCTCCGTGCATCTTGGTAGCTGACATAGAAAGTCGCCAGCTCCTTGTCTTCCTGCACTGTGTCCATGCATGATGGCGTTCTCGAATTGCAGAACTATAGGGATGCATCGTCATCATCCGCTGCGAGAACCTCAAGGGTCTCTTCGTCCATTGGGTCCTCAACCTCCCACATGCCTTTATCGGCGTGCTCATCCAGCTCTTCCACTCCAAAGGTGAGGTGGTCATAGGTTTTGCGAGCTTTGCCACGTGTTCCCAAAGTGCACCTGTGGAAGAATGACAATCCGATCACAGCTGAGACCTTCTTCATTTCCAATTCACCCCCATGTTCTGCCCCTAACTCCACCAGGACTCGTTTTAGTCTTCCGTGGCCAGCTTGCTTCCACGAAGGGTCACATAGGCCTGGACCTCGGCAAGGTTGATCTTCTTCATAAGAAGCTCCGTGATAGGAATTGGCGCCTTCATCTTGCTTCTGCCTGCAGCGAAAGAGAGCTTTCTCCACAATGTCGAACTTCCGTTCAAGGCTCACCTGGCCGAATTGGCCTCAATCTGTGTAATGCTCACAACTGTTCCAGCCAAAAGATCTTTCTTCCTCAACTGCAATTTGGCGAACGCCGAACCCTTGCAATTCAGGATGATACGTGCTGCCAGTTCGCTCAACTTAGCTTGCTTTCTGGCCACACGGTTGTCAGCAGCTCAATCTTCTGTGCACACTGCTCCACGCTATCGGTTGAAGGATCAAACTGAAGTCAAGTGGCTGTTGGTCGAGGTTCCACCCTCCAATGTTGTAGCTCCTGCTGCCTGCTGCCTCCAACAACTATTGAAGATCTTCACGAACCTGTCCCTGTGAGATCACCCAGGTAGCTCCGCTACCAATATCGAAACCACGTTGGTTTCCGATACTGGCAACGGACACAGCCGGAGTAGGGCTCACTCAAATACAATGCGCAACAATGGATTCAACCCGGAAGCACCGCTTCCTCACCAGATCCCCGTCCGGCACGAGCGCCCTGCGCTCTGAGATCAAGGATCCGTCTCCTGAGGCCACCTAGCCATCAACTTTGAAAGGAGTCACCGCTCCTATGGCTCAAGGATGAACCGCCCGCCCACCCACGTCTTGGGCGTCCAAGGTGCAGCGAAAGGTGGAACATGTGACAGAGACCCTGGTGGCACATTCGACACACGCCCCCCAGTAAGGGCTACTACAAAAAGTTTAAGTATATAAAGCACATGGCCCGGCAAAAGAAGACGAGAGGAAAGAATGAAGGGAGTGCGTGCGAAGGCAATGGACATAAAACCAAATGACCAGGAACAAACGATGAGCCAAACTTCATTGTACCGTGTACCAAGACTTGGGGCATCTATATACAAACAGATATTCTTTGTAACTGTCCACATACGTGCCCAGAGCCCGACAGGCGTGCACGCAAAAGAAGAAAAGATCAAACGACCAAACACGAAAACAGGAGGGACAAGAAAAAACAGGAGAGTGTGTAAAGGCGGATGAAGGGGAACCAGGTGGAATGGAACCACACTGGGAGAATCTGCTTCCGCTCTCTTGGAGGACGACCACCTGCAGAATGAGGGCAAGGAGGAGCGCTGGGTGATTTGCAAGCTGGTCTTGTGATCATCCAGGCCCCAGACGGACATGGCGTACCAGACCTTGGGGTGTTGGAAGCCACGGCATGTTCCGGGTTCGGAGCTTGCAGCAAAAAGTTCATCTCTTCGGCGGCAGCTTGGAAGCAATTCTACCAGGAAGCAAATTACCAGGTGCTGGGCACAGGGCTTGCTTCACGGGACGCAGCGGCGGAGCCAGCTGAGCAGCCGAGAGAAAGCCGGGCGACGGGTTTTGTTCGGGCAGGAGCGAATGCCCTTCCATGGCGGATGATGCTGCTGGGCATGGGCTGCTGCTTCGCGCGGCGGCGCTGCAAATGGAGCGGGAGCTGGGGCCATGGGAGCTTCCACAATTATCCTGAAGCCATGCGGCCAAAACAGGTGGCTGATCCTCAGCCATGGTTGGCTGGTCAGGGCGCACGGGAGGCCACGGGTTGGAGCGCTTCACCCGATTCATCGAAGTGTGCCCGCGGATGCCTCGACCCTATCTCCTGATGGTGTAGCGGTTTGGCAAGAACAAGATCAACGACATGTCAACAGAGACCAGTGGACCCTTGGACCTCAATCGGTCACCAGCAGGACGTAGAGATAGCGGGGCTACACCTTCTTCCGCACCAGAGTTGGCCGAGAAGAAGGCCGTCGGATTGAGCCCGCTGCGTCACCGCCATTGCCTGATCACCGGGTGAAACACCAGACTGAGGAGCTCTGGGGAGAGTGGGCGACACGGTGGTGAGGGCACGGTACGAGGTTGAGCATGAAGCTTCATTTCCCATGCTTTTGAGGTCACATGAAGGCCACAGCAGTTAGCATCACAAACTTTAGCTCAAGAAAAGGGCCGCTGCGACAGGCGGCATTTGGTTTTTGGTGTGGCACACTCAGAAACAAAGAGACAGAAAGGTCTCAGCCTTGCCGAGCTCAACGTTCCGCGCACGAGAGGCAAAGTTGAGCGCACTTAGGCTCCTAAGTAAATGGTTAAATCGGCAAATCGGCATCGCTGGTTTTACTGTTTTGTTCAACATGTTGGAGCAGCAACGATGGCCAAGCATCTCCGTGACGTTGAACTGTGCCGGAGAGACGCACACAATCCTGATTGATGTCCCAGCGATGCCATGCATTTCTAACCCATTTGCAAACACACATGTGGTCTTTGCCAAGCTTGCTTCAAGCTTGCTTCATCTACAAATGTGTCTGTCAAGTCTCATTAAGGTCTTGGAGTCTCCGCCCAATGAATCTTTCAGCATCATAGTAAGCTTCGAATTTCTGTAGGGTGTGTGTGAACTCTTTCCCTCAGTCTCAGAGAATAGAAAGGGGTTGGCACGGAGAGTTCATGCCTCCCTCTCTCTCTCACATCATGATGTCAGTCAACCTGGGCACCATCTAAACCTTAGTAACATATGAATGAGTAGGAAGCCAAGAAAAGGAAGTCTCAGGAGCTCTCTGGCGGTGCATTCGAGAAAGGATGCACGCAACCGTCAAGAGCTTCTCAAAAGCTGCAGCAAGGGCACCACAAGAGACTGAATGACATCTCCCAATGCTGAAAGGCTCTTGTTGATGTTTTGGGCTTCCTTCATTCCCTGGCCCGTGACACCAGACTTATTAGTGTTCCTCAGATTCAATGCAGCTTCATCTCTTATGGCGTCGTGGCAAAGACTGCCTGGGATCAAAACTTGCAAGAACCAGCACAAACATGGGATAGGATAGAAATGTATTATTGATAATTGTTGGATGTCTGATGTTACCAGTAGCTTCACGGGCTCAAGTGCTCGAATCATCTCATGTTCATGTCATGTGTTCCGGAATGCTGGTGACTCTAATGTCATCAAGCATCTCAGAGCCCGCCAAGTCGATCAAATGAATCTTGCCAATGTACGTATCACTTCCCTTCAGAGTGCCTGAATCAAGCTGAACCTATCCATCACAAGAGGCATCACAAGTCTAACCAAGTCCTGTCTTTGTGAGTCTAAACCTCTTGCAGCAATCATGCTGTAGTGTAGCACAGTGATATGTGCTTATACACCCCCTGTGAATTCTTGAAACAGAACCTCAAGACAGAGTGTGCAGTGAGACTACCTGAAAATCAACCAAGAAAAAATAAATAAAGAAAGAAAATAATGATCTGTTGCAAGCGGAGGAGCACTTGGTTCGAACGGTCACTATGCTGTGCGATCTGCTTGACTGCTCGTTCATGTCAGTTGTTGAAGTGGCTCGGTTTTTGCTCGCATCCTGGCAGTGGAATATCCGAGATGGTAAATTGAAAACTGCCGTAATGTTCTGTCAACAAAGATCGTGGCTCGTTGTGCCACGTTCATAACAACAGAAAAGTTGACATGCTTTGTGCCATCGTACTACTCTTGCAGCTCGTGACTAAGACATATTCTCCGTGATCAGTACAGTATATATATATTATAGTATATATAATATACTAATATAAGTATACAGTACACCCAAACGATGCATATGCATGCCAACTTACAGTGTTTGAACTGGCTGTCTGCTGTCCGACTGTCCGATCCAAGCTACTCCAATGCATTTCAGGACATCATCCACATTGGAGACAGGTGTTTCAGTGAGACCAGGAACACCACAAGTGCCATCGGGATTGATGCGCACATCCAATTTATCCTCAGGGCGTGCAGGTCGAACAGCTCAAGCTGAAGTCATGTCATGTGAACTTTGAAAATATATGAAAATATATGAAAAATCTGTTATAAAAGCACGTCAGGTCTCCTTACCATCTGGATTTAGAAGATCTCGAATAGCTTCATTGTAGATCTCAGTTATCGCAATGCCTCAGGTATGGTCAATTTGGCAGGAGTCTCAAATAGTCTAAAATGTGTTGTTGCTACTAGTGGCCAAGGACAAAAATAGCAAACAACATTGTGTACGGAAGTGGTAGCTTGCAAAAAAAAATGCGGCTTCTATCTGCCAAATAGTCAGGATGCTGATCTGAATATCGTACTCGTTTCTCCGCTCATCGCGAATTCGGAAAAGCTCACGCAGAACCCGGGTGTTCAGACCAGGATCTTCACCCGTTCCGGTCATTGTGTGCGTCTTGCCAGATCCAGTTTGGCCATAAGCGAATATGCAAACATTGTAGCCTTCCAACTTCCAAAGCTGGTTTTCGATGCTCAAAACTCTGAAGCTTCAACACTCAGTCTTTTAGACGTTGGATCCCTTTCAGGAGGGCACTACCTACAAATCAAATGGGCAGCAAGTGGATTTCCTGTATTGAAAACAAAAAAGGCTTCTGAGATGTCTCGAGGCACCGTCTAGTGTTGAAGTTGCAAGTGGTTTTGCTTCCTCAAACACCTGAATCTGGGAGGTGGTGGGCGGGAAGACTTGATCGAATTCAAAGAACTTCCGTCTGCTATGCTGACCATCATAGACACCTGCGGTGCGGGATAAAAACTGACTGACTGACCCTGGCAGTGCCATATTTGAGGAGACCATTGCCATTGATGTTCTACAAAGCCAAGAAATGAAGGAACTGTTCTTGCTGCCTATGTTGATGTCGTCCTTGAAGTTTATAGTTGGCTCACCTTTCAGCAGCGTCAAAGAAGGGGTCATGAATCATGCTTGTCACCTGTAGCAAAGGAAATGAAGCATTCAGCACATACTTGAGGCCGTGACCCTCTGGCTCATGAGGTTTCTCCTTGCTGTTAATTGGGCGCACACGCACGAAGACCCGGATGTTGCCCTAGAAGGCTAACTTTGCTCAAACGCTCACTATACACAGACCATGTCCGCTGCAGGTTTGGCCTTGAGATCCAGGACCATGTTGTGAAGTTTCTTTCTATCCTCACATGCGATCTTTGACAAATAAATTGCAAGTACTGCCATTAACACCGATTAGCATCTACTAACCTCCTCACATTCAGACCTTTCATTGCACATCTTGGTTGAGTAATCTCTACTGCAAATGTGAACGGAGCCACATGACAACAGCTCAAAAACTGAGATATTAAGCAAGCAGAAGTAGAAATTGAGCATCTTCCATAGCCAGTTTGTACTTCTGTTCCAGGGCTCTGGAGCGGTCCTTAGGTTTTTCGTGCAAGGATCTCAGCACAACTTACTGAAATTACTCGTAGAGAGCTATGGAGATGACAAACAGGAGTTTTGAGTTCTGCTATTCCTCGGCTCAACAAGCAACATGTCCAAAATACAACAACCTCCGAAACTAACAAGCAAGCGAGCAAGCAAGCGAGCAAGCAAGCGAGCAAGCATCTGCCATCTTCTCCATAGTTTGAAACAGCTTTTGGATCTCTTGCTTGAAGGTGCTTCCGATGTCGGTCACCTTTGGATTTTGCGCGGGAAATGCACGTCGTTGTTTCCATCTTGCACAAAGCAACGAGCTACGTGCTACAAAGGGTGGCCCTGCCTTCTTGAAAGTCTCTACAAATCAGTTTCAATCTGTTTTTTTTGGGTTTGCTTGCCTCAGCACGGATGTGCTGTTGCTGCTCGCGCATTTGCTTGGCCGCTGCTCGAAGTGGTTCCACGCGCACATCCAATGATTGGTTGGCCTCGCGGACACATACAAAAACACCTCAAAGATCCTGCAAAGAAGACATGACAGGGAGACGGGATGGGATGAGCAGAAACCTTGGTGGAAGATAAAACTAGCAAGTTAGCAAACTCCATGTATTTTTGGGGGTCTTCCTTTTGGGAGGGAAATATTGATCATTACATATGTGCATCTCTACTAGGCTAGAGTGCTTCCCAGACTGCGCTCTGTGCACTCTTCCTTTTTCCATAGGCACTCTCTGCGGTAGAGGTCTCATGTACGTCACCATGATGTTGTTGCGTTGGAAACTCACAGTGTGTGAGCAGTGTTCATAGCCACACATCCATTCCTGGATGAAGCTTAGACACCCATCTATGGAAACTCGTCCACCAAGACGTATCCGTAGCGATGTATCTACACAACCAGGGATCCACCCTGGAATGAACACCAGACCTGACAACAGGTCGCCCTTAAAAGAGGCTCCCAAGGCGGGGGAATCAACGTGGACCCGTCCATAGGGGTGGGCTGGGTGGGACAGAAACTCCACTGTCCCACTTTTGGCTTGAGCCAAAATGGACAGTGCAACACTTGTAATGAATACTGTGCACCCAAACCTGCCCAAAGCTCGACGCAGTTTTACATTACATGTGTTCATCTCTACTAGGCTAGAGTGCTTCCCAGACTGCGCTCTGTGCACTCTTCCTTTTTTTCCATAGGCAGTCTCTGCGGTAGAGGTCTCATGTACGTCACCGTTGGAAACTCACAGTGTGTGAGCAGTGTTCATAGCTACACATCCATTCCTGGATGAAGCTTAGACACCCATCTATGGAAACTCGCCCACCAAGACGTATCCGTAGCGATGTATCTACACAATGCACTTCTCCTATAAAGAAAGAGACCGGCTCGCAGAGTAGCCGGACAAGATCGGACAAGGAAAATACCAGAGTGGTTCGAAGAAAGAGGCAACTCGACTAGTGAAACCGTGGTCGTGATGCCAACGATTGGCCATCACGGGAAATCGCATCACTCCAATTGCTCTTGGAGGGGATCCAGAATCCACTAGAAGTAAATCCAGCAGCGGAGCGAGAACAAAAGAATATGGATCATGTGGCTCATGTGCTCTAAATCAGGGCTATCAGACCTACCCTTGATGAGCGCCATCAAGGCGGCTGCGTTGTCTATATACCATGTCCTGCGGCGATTGCGGAATCGCTCAGGTGTGGTAGTCAAAGCGATGAGCACCCGTAGTAGCTCAAGCTGGGCGATCTTTGCGTCTCCCGGTGTCCATAACGCGTAGATGGAGGAGGGGAGTTGTGAGACCAAGCCAAGTCTGCATGGTCTCCGTCGAATCCTGAAAGAAAATCAGAAGAAAACCTCCTGCGCCTTCTCCAGGAGATTCCAGAGCGGCGTCTGATGCAGCTACAAAGCGTTCATGGCGCCGTGGCCAATAGAGACAACGGCTTCGATGATCTGAAAGCATTGCTCGATGGCAGGGGTCAACTGATCACCACGGGCCAGCTGACGTTCCTTAATGGCATGAAGGCCGCCACAGCCAATGCGTCCGTATACTCCTTGCTCGAAGAAATTGGTGAGGCCATAGAGTTTGGCTGCTACACCACGTTTGAGGGTTTGAGCTGTGCGACAGTCTTGGATGATAGTCATCAATTAGGTTTCAAGGCGTTCCCGCGCCCAAAAAAGAGACAAAGCCCCCTGACAATGCTGCAGAGAGGTCATGGTCTAAACCTAAGAACAGGCCCTTGGTGCTCATGGGCTGTCGTTTCTCCTCGGCAAATGGGGTATACCCAATATAACTGATTGAGAATACCAAAGCCCATTGAGCCGAACCTCGGCTAGATGACCAATCTTGAATGGAGGCGTCATCAAAGTATAAAGACACCAACACGTAGCAAAGTCGACGGCCGAGAGCCTCAACCAGGCGACTGTATCGGTTGAATGAGGTCACAGCTAGTGGAAGGCTAAATAATAGTCCAGCGTAAACCTGGAAAGCTGGAGCGGCCCATTCATAGCTGTGGGCCACTGAAATGGCCAAGATCTTGTTGCGAAGAGATTGGGAATATCGCGCCGACGAGTAGCGCAGCGCCATCCCAGCCTCTGCCGGCTCCTTTGGTCTTGCCAGTCCCCCAACGAGCAAAGATCTGTGGAGGACATTTTTGGAGATGGCCAACTGTCGGAAGCATTCTTCGCCAAGAGTAAGATGTCAGCTGTTCGGTATTGTCCAGGAACTCGGCGAAGGTGTAGAATATGCTGTACCTCAGCCAAGTTCCAAGGCGTCCCACGCCCATCGAAGCAGATGCCAGAGCTGTTCTGGGCCACTGGAGAGAGGCTCTTCCACAACTTAATCCAAGCTGGGGCCCAGTTGAAGCCTGAGGCAAACTCAGTGGGCGCGCGTCAATCAAAGCCACCGCGGGCATGCTTCTGCTTGCCTTTGCGGCAATGGCCGTGGAAGACATAGGGCTAGCCCGCCGCACGGTAGATCGACGAATATTCTGGCACCGCACGCAGCCAGTCGCAACCAACCAGGAGCCCAATAAGCACGTCCACCGTGGGTCCCCCCCACGGCACATGCCTTCGATGCGATCCTCCTTGGTCGAAGGGGGTTTCTTCTTCAACTCAGGGGTGATGCGAAGCTTGCTGATGTCCCAAGCACCTTCAGTATATGCTTGCGCAGCCAACGAAGCGCATTGAGCGCGCGGGCGGGGGCGGTCGTCCCCTGCAGAATAGTATCCAGATCCACGAAGCGGGGGGAATGCACGGCCCCGGTGGGTGAGGAAGGCGTGCAACTCACCGTAGGTACGAAGGGCATTCTGGATGATGACGAACGCGGCCTCGGCGACTTTGGTCTGTGCGAGACGAAGGACCGAAGCTTGCCAGTCCCGCTTCAATGGCTCGGTCATCAAGCCGGGAGGCTTCAAAGCTCCAACTGCCAGGAAGACCTTCTGCAGGGCAAGCACTTGGCGCTGGATTGACTCAGGCTGATCCTGCGCTTTCTCATGGAGGCGAACACCCACCACAAGAGGCACACCCTTGCGCTTCCGAGCGAGTGGAGGACGCTCATCCGGCCCCGTCAATCAACCGAGCGGCAGCCGGCAAGAGCTCCTCCTGCTGGGAGACACGAACGGCGAGCCAAGCATCAGCCAAGCGGTGGCCAGCCACAGCCACCGCCTCCTCCCAGGTGGAAAAGGCGAACGCGAAGTCCTCATCGCGCTCGTACCCCCGCTCACGTCGCCACCTCTCAGCCCGAGCGCCAGCAACGCGAGCCAGGCTGTCCTCGGCTCGCCAGCCACCATAGGATGCTGCGGCATCAGCCGGCGCTTCCGCTGTTTCCGCGACCTGCGCACGATACGCCATGGCTTGAGCACCCACGGAACTACCTAGCTATCGCCATCAGACGAAGAAAGTTCGCGGCAGGCCGGGCAAATCTGGAGCACGGGAAAACAGGCGGCGCACACTCCTTTGATATAAGGCACTGCCGATATGTAGGATCACCACAGCCACAACATGCTGGAGGAAATTCCGTTTCCCCGTTGATTGAGGATCCCAGCTAACCACGAAGGGCTCGATGTGCACGGATCTTCGGGCGAAGGGCGTGGGCGCACGAAAGGGGTTGATCCACAACCCATGTGGGGATCCCAACAGCCAGCGCCGCATATAATACAAAACTTCGGACTGAAAGGTCTGGAGGTCCAGGTCACCGGGAACCTTCTGCACGAACTCCCACAGGTATGAAGGTACAAAATCCGCAGCTGAGTACGGGGCACCGTGAGGTTGCAAAAGCAGGAGGTCCATGGAGGCTTCCAACCTGGCGCGACGATCCCAGGCTTGCTGGGGGGTGAGGCCCGACGGCACAACTGTGCCACGACGGTTCCAAATCCCGATACGGGAAGACATAGCCCCCTCGCCCCTGGTCACAACGGGGACAAACACTCTTGGAGTGGAAGGAGGCATGTGCTCGAACAGGACCACCGAGCTCCAGAGCCGCAAGGCACCTGCCCAGTCCCCCTGGGCCAAAAGTGCATCGACCTGGTGGCGGAATTCGAGGAACGCGGCGGCCGAAAGAACCTCATCAGCGGTGAACATGGCGACATGCACACCGACGATATGCTGTGAAGCCATCCACAGCAAACACAGCAAACATTCAAGTAGAACAGAAACTCCACTGTCCCACTTTTGGTTTGAGCCAAAATGGACAGCAACACTTGTAATCAATACTGTGCACCCAAACCTGCCCAAAGCTCGACACAGTAAAAAATCCCAACCCTGAGGTCCCTTCCACGCCATTGGCGAGAGAACCGATAGAACGAACCCTAGTGGGGAAGAGGAAGGGCAACCCGATTTCATCTCTTCTCCGGCCTGCTCCTTTCACCTAATATAGTTGCCTGGTGGTGTTAGATGATCTTTCGGTGAAAGGAAAGTTTGCACTGTCACTCCATGAAAAGCCATAGTTTCGGAATGGTTAAAGTCGCTGCTCTCATGTGTGAAGCTGCGGGTGTGTGTGTGTGTGTCGCGCTCCGTATCCAGGAGTTTAATTTTTAGTCTTTAAAATGCAATCGGCAGGGGCCATCCCTCTCACCAGTGGTGGATGGCCATCAAAGAGGCCACTGGTGAGGGCTGTAAACGTACCTGCAGTTCAAATTAGGGTAACAGAAAGAAATGGTGCTCAACACACTTGCGCGTCGGTGCCTTTCCTTCTGTTGTCCCTGTTCTAGTCTACTCTACCCGGGCGGTCTCGCTCCCTAGCTATTGCACGGCCGGAATTCAAGTCCGCTAAGCATTCAGTAACTAGTTGTAAAGGGCTAGTGCGAAACAGGTTGTTAAAACATTTCTGTTTTGCTGACTTCGCCACTTTCCTCGTGGATTATGGAACTGAATGAACCTTTACCTAAGTGTGTCTCGCTACGCTTTCCCACTTGGGTGCGTAGTGTGATCCCCGTCACAGGGGCGCTGAAACCACTGTGTATCCCATATTGAATTCGCTGCCTTGAGGTCTTGGATTATGATAT